TCAATCTTTTCTGACCAAAAGATTCGAAAAGGTTTCCTTAAGCACCCTCTCTGGAAGCTGTCAATCCGGCAGGCATCATGTTCAGTCATCTTCCATGTTTCTGCGCCATATAGAAGGACAGCTAGGACATTACTCTTGAAGATTTTAAGTTTGGTCTTGTTGCGGTAAGCTGTTGAATTCCATACTGGTTTGAGGTTTACAAAGGTACCTCTAGCGAGGTATAGTCTCCTGCTGATATCTGTCTTTGCCCCGCTGGATCCATATCAGACCCAAGGTAGACAAATTTGTCCACATCCTCTAAGGGTGTTCCATTTATAAAGATTTGATGCTGGGACTTGCTATTGAGCCTCATGATCTTGGCTCTCTTAGTATTGAATTCTAATCCAATAAAACTTGCGATGGCAAGCAACCTGCTTGATTTCTCCTGCATATGAGTGCAGTTACTGGCTAGTAATGCGACGTCGTCTGCATAATCACGGTCTTCTAAGATTGATGTAAATCTCCACCCAAGACTTCTACGTCTGTTTTTATAATGTCTTTGTCATCACCCAGTCCACTGCCACAATAAACAAAAAGCCTGACATGACGCAGCCCTACGCTGTGAACCGCTGTAAACCGTTCTGAGTCGTTGCAAAGCCACCTCGGGGCATATATTCTGCTAATATCATCAAGGACAGAAGCAGAAAATCTGGTTTTTTATGGGTGGCAACTGTTCGCGAGAACTGTCGCATTGTCAGCGATAGCTTGTGTCATGCGAGACTTCTGCTGCTGAGTTCAATCACTGGATTTGTTATCAGCAAAATCGCTCAGACAACTTTCGCGAATCAAAATATACACGGGCGTAAATTTGGGTCTTTACTTTGCCGTATTATCTTACAAACACGATTTGTTGTTTTCTAACGTGTGTGAGGTGGACATGGGGATTTGCGGTGTTGCGGTGTTGATGTTTCTTCAATGCGGTGATGCGGTGAATAAAATCTCAAATTGCGGTGTTGCGGTGATCTCAAACCCTGCGGTGTGCGATGTTTGTGTTTTTCACGCTGCGGTGTTCGGT